TCCAGGGAGTGATCTACCTCAGGTAAATGTTCAACTCATATGCCTGTCTTTTATTTGGCTGGAAGCCACAGGTGTGGGTTCAATTCCAGACCTGAAAGGCAGCTAGGGGTCATAGTCTCAGTGGTTCCACCAGGCTCTATCAGACCAGCAAACCTGGTGCCTCTCCCCTTTTTTTCCAAATGATTTTGAGTTTTGTTCCACATTGTTCTCCTTCTCTATCTAGGATCTCCTACATAGATGCCCCTCCAAGTGGTTGACAGTGGTAGCCGGACACCATCTAGTTCTTCTGGTCTCATAGTCGTGTAGGCTGAGGATCGCATGGTGTACCAGTCATGAGGACTAATTATTTCCATGATTCTTTGGTTTTCTTCATTCTTCTTTGCTCTAGACAAGGAGAGACCCATCGTTGCATCTAGATGGCTGGTTAGCAGCCAAGCACTTTAACCACTGCACCACCTATATTTATTTAAGTGTCATATATGCCTTCCCCAACACACTGAGTTTTTCAAGGGCATTAGCTTTTTAACATTTGTTTAGTTGCTTTTGAAAATATATGCAGCAAAACATACACCACTTTAAGAGTTTTCTGCATGTTCAGTTCAGTGACATTGATTACATTCTTTAAGTTATGCAACCATTTTCACCATCTTTTTTGAGTTGTTCCTCCTCATCAAAGAAATTCACTGCAGTCTCAGGTTCCTATTCTTTTAAGTTGCTATTGTCAGTTTGATCCCATATAGATTAATTTGTAAAAGAACATAATGCTATATAACATACTACACAAAACATTGTTCCACCTCCTACTTGGCAAGTAGCGACGGGGATCTTAAAAGCTTGCAAGCAATTCTGTAAGAATTCCCAGGGGTATAGTAGAGCTGACAAGAGATAAGGTTGTAGTCACTTCTTGGTCACAGCCAGCTACCCAGAGGGACCAAGTAGTTGGATCTGTGGGCTCAGGACCATAGTCACAGGGGACATCAAGCTCAATTGGCATAACACACTACACAAAACATTGTTCCACCTCCTACTTTGGCGAGTAGTGCAAGCAGCCATCTAGATTCAACGATGGGTCTCTCCTCATCTAGAGCAAAAAAGAATGAAGAAAACCAAAGATTCATGGAAACAATCAGTCCTCGTGACTGGTACACCGTGCGATTCTCAGCCTATATGACTATGACACCAGAAGAACCAGATGGTGCCCGGCTACCACTGTCAACCACTCAGAGGAGGATCTATGTAGGAGATCCTAGATAGAGAGGGAGAACAATATGGAACAAAACTCAAAATCATTTGGAAAAAAAAAGGGGGGGACCAGGTTTGCTGGTCTGCTAGAACCTGGTGGAACCACTGAGGCTATGGCCCCTAGCTCAGGGAGCAGGAGTACATGGAGGGATAGACACAGGGAAGAGTTAACTATGGGGAGGGGAGCACTTGCATTGGTGTAAATTGTAGTCAATGTCATGAGACAAAGCAGAATGAAACACTGCCCGGTCCCGTGCCAGCTCCACGATCCTTGCTATACTTTAGCCCATCATCATAGCCACTGTGTCAATCCATCTCGTTGAGGGCCTTTCTCTCTTTTACAGACCCTCCACCTTACCAAGCATGATATCCTTCTCCAGAGAATGGTCCCTTCTGACCACAAGACCAAAGGAGGTGAGATGATGTCTCATTCTCGCTTCCAAGGAGCATTGTGGCTGCACTTCCTCCAGGACAGATTTGTTAGATCTTTCAGCAGTCCACAGCACTTTCAGCATTCTTCCCTAGCACCACAAGTCAAAAGCATCAATTCTTCTTCAGCTTCCTTATTCATTGTCCAGCTCTCCCATGCACATGAGGCAACTAAAAATACCATGGCTTGTGTCAGGCCCACAATAGTCCTCAAGGAGATGTCTTTGCTTCTCAGCACTTGAAAGAGGTCCTTTGCAGCCAATTTGCCCAGTGCTATACACCATCTGATGTCCTGACTGCTGCTTCCATTGGCATCAATTGTAGAACCAAGCAATGTGAAGTCTTTGACAACTTCGATCTTTTCTCCATTTATCATGATGCTGCTTATTGATTCAGTTGTGAGGATTTTTGTTTTCTTTATATTGAGATGTAATACATAATGCAGACTGTATTCTTCAGTCTTCATCAGTAAGTGCTTCAAGTCATCCTCACTTTCGGCAAGCAAAATTGTGTTGTCAGCATATTGCAGGTTATTAATGATTCTTCCTCCAATCCTGATGCCACATTCTTCTTCATACAGTCCAGCTTTTCAGATTATTTGTTCGGCATACAGATTGAATAAGTATGGTGAAAAGATACAATCCTGAAGCATTCCCTTCTTGATTTTAAACCATGCAGTGACCCCCTGTTCTGTTTGAAGGACAGCCTCCTGGTCTATGTGCAGGCTCCTCATTAGTGCAATGTAGTGTTCTGGAATTCTTATTCTTTTCAATGTTATCCATAATTTGTTATGGTCCACACAATCAAATACTTTTGCATAGTAAATAAAACATGAGTAAATATCTTTCTGGTATTCTTTGAGTCAAGATCCATCAGACATCAGCAATGATATCCCTTGTTCCATGTCCTCTTCTGAATTTAGCTTGCATTTCTGGAAGTTCTCTGTCAATATACTGCTGCAGGCATTTTTGAATTATCTTCAGTAAGATGGTGGCGTAGTGCCTAAGGCACTTGACTGCTAACCAGAAGGTTGGCGGTTCAAACCCAACAGCCACTTCTTGGAAGGAAGATTGGGTGATCTACTTCTGTAGTGATACTGCCTTGGAAACTCAAGGAGGGGTCACTATGAGTTGGAGATGACTCAATGGCACATAACAACAACAACAAGATTTTACTTGCATGCAATATTAATGATATTGTTCTATAATTTCCACATTCTGTAGGATCACCTGTCTTTGGAATGAGTACAAATATGGATCTCTTCCAGTCAATTGGCCAGGTAGCTGTCTTCTAAATCTCTTGGCATAGTTGAGTGAGTGCCTCCAGCAGGGCATCCATTCATTAAAACATCTCAATGGGTATTCTGTCAACTCCTGGAGCCTTGTTCTTTGCCAATTCCTTCAGTGCAGCTTTGACTTCTTCCTTCAATACCGTTGGTTCTTGATCATATACCACCTCCTAAAATGGATGAAAATCGACCAGGACTTTTTAATACAGTGACTCTGTGTATTCCTTCCATCTTCTTTTGATGCTTCCTGCATCATTCAATATTTGCCCATAGAGTCTCTCAATAAGGCAACTCAAGGCTTAATTTTTTCCTCAGTTCTTTCAGCTTGAGAAATGCTGAGTGTGTTCTTCCCTTTTGGTTTTCTAACTCCAAGTCTTTGCACATTTCATTATAGTAATTGGCTTTGTCTACTCAAGCTGCTCTTTGAAACCTTCTGTTCAGCTCTTTTATCTTGTCATTTCTTCCATTTTCTTTAGCTACTCTCCATTGATGGGCAAGTTTCAGAGTCTCTTCTGAGATCCATTTTGGTCTTTTCTTCCTTTCTCATCTTTTTCAAGACCTCTTGCTTTCTTCATGGATAATGTTCTTGATGTCATCCCACAATTCTTCTGGTTTTCGGTCACTGGTGTTCAATGAATCAAATCTATTCTTTAGATGGTCTCTAAAGTCAGGAGGGATATATTCAAGGTCATATTTTGACTCTCATGGACTTCTTTTAATTTTCTTAAACTTCAAGTTGAACTTACATATGAGCAGTTGATGGTTTGTTCCACAATCAGTTCCTGGCCTTGTTTTGGCTGAAGATATTGAGCTTTTCCATCGCCTCTTGCCACAGATGTAGTCCATCTGATTCCTGTGTACTCCATATGGGGAACTCCATGTGTACAGCTGCCGT